CAGATCACAGACAGAAGGAAAAAAATTAGAAAATGCATGAAACCCCGGCGGTGAATTGAGAAAACTGTAGAGAATGATAGGTGAGGGTCGTATCTATAATATTTGGGACATGGGGAATCGTTTCAAAAATATTAAACCCAAGAATAGATATGTTTGAAATTCGAAAAATGTCAGTGACTGTCGTGTTCCAATCACAACGGTGCTAATGTCTACGAGGTTGATATCTATCCGAACGCCAACTAGAATGGAATGTGACACAAGGCCAAGTTTAAAGTAAAGATTAAGCGTGTACATCTGTCCAAAACCCCAAAATAATACAATCATATCAGTATTCTCCCTTTTGGGGGATGTCTCAGATGCCATTTAATGATCCTACATAACTCCTGCGAAAGATGTATTGCCTAGAAAGACGGGATCCCCAGGATTAAACTACGGTTAATTTAGCGCCCTAAAATCTTTGAGGATATTGGGGAACACTTACTTTATCACCAATGATAACTACTAGACACAGATCGGAAATTAAGGGCACAGAAACAAGACTATATGAAAAGCGTTGTAGGTTCTAACGACAGAATGAGATATTTCAAACGGACCTCAGGGAAATTGGAAAAACATTTATAGACGTCAAAAAGCCACCATCTATTGCAGGAGTGCAAAATTCTGGGAGAATATTTGAAGCAATATAATACCAATGCAGAGTGGATGAAACGAGACCAAGAAAGAACGATGGACAAACCTGTACAAGAATGGAAAAATATAACCAAGTATAATATTAGGCAATCTCTAACAAAATCCCCAAAATAGTAATCCCCAGAAAATGAGAAGCTATCCCATATTTAGCTTTATCATTTGTCATCAATCCATAAAACTCTTGTGCAAACTTTATCAATATTAATTAATAAACCTAATGAAACTTCCGAATCAAAAACGAGTGAAACAAATGACCGCCAAAATGATAGGCCAATAACATGTCTGCTCACCACATATAAATTGACCGCGTCTGTCCTGATGAACTGTACTTACTCTTTTCTCTCTGAAAATAATATTTTTCTCTTGGATCAGAAAGGATGTCAAACAGGTTCATGTAGTTGCATAGATCAACTACTAATAGATAAAATGATCCTGGAAAATTGCAGGAAGAAGGTAGAAATCTCAGCACAATTTGGATGGATTACCGTAAGGCCTCTGATAGTGTGCCACACTCTTGTTTCCTTAAGGCATTGGAAATGTACAGTCTCCTCTGTGATAGTAAATTTCTTTAAATATAGCATGGAACTGTGGAAAACCACATTATACCTAAATCGTACCAAAGGCATTGACGCTTTGAACTGTTTGAATATCCGACGAGAAATCTTTCAATATTTCCTATCGCCCTTTTGTTCTGTCTGTCCTTAAACCCACTTTTGTATGAACTAAACAGTAATAACTATGGATACAAAGTAAAAAAAGCAAGTGTTTAATCACATATTCTGAAAATGTAGAAGAATGAGTTTATTCCAATATACAACTTAATAGTATCCCTGCCTAACTTACCACCTAGAACTGAGTCTCTTTTGAGGGATATGCATATAACCCTTCCTATCATCTCTAACCTTGATAACCACAAAGTATGTGAACCTGGTGGTATCTCTGTAATAGTCATTAAGAAGAGCGCTCCCGAACTGGATCCTGTTCTCTCTAAACTGTATAATAAATGTCTCACTGCCTCTTGCTTTCCTGTCTGTTGGAAGTCCTCATCTGTTGTTCCAGTTTTTAAGAACTCTGGTGGACCGTCCGACCCTTCCAACTATCGGCCTATTAGCCTTCTATCTCTTTTGGGGAAACTCCTAGAGGCCCTAATCAATGCTGAATTGATTAAGCATCTCACATCACAGGACCTTTTTTCAGACAAGTCTATCAAACTCTAAATAAGAATTGTGAAGGCTGAACTGTAGCTTTGAACATCTCGAAAGCTTTCGACAGGGCGTGGTATATAGGTCCTCCCCACAAGCTGAAAAATTACGGTGTCTTCAGACAAATTCTTGAACTGATCCAATCTTTCCTATAAAATCATGAAAGTAATCCTGAACGGCGACTCATCCAGTTCCTTTCGTAATGATGCATGTTTTTTCCCCCAGAGCTCCCATCCTTGGTCCTACTTTGTTTTTAATTTTCATTAATGACCTTCCCTCTGGCATTAACTCTCAACGTGGTATCTACGCTGATGAAACAACCTAGACTCCTGTTAAGATAGTAAGTTTGATCAGTTCGATGAGGTAAAAATAACAGCTTGTATCCAAAACGACCTTCAATCTGTTGTTAACTGTAGCAAAGAATGGCTTGTTAACTTTAACGCGTCCAGAATTGCTCTCTAATAATCATCTGAGAGACCCTTCCTTACTCTCTATCAATATTACTGATATTGACCTCCAAGAGAGTGATTCGTTGCGAGTGTTCTCGTCTAACATGAAATGGTAAGACTATATTGAATCCATTGCTAGGTCAGCTGCTAAGAAATTTGGTTCACAGTGTGGTAATGCTACATATGGTCCGGTGCTTCTGTGATTTACCTAGAGCTTCTTAGGAGGCATGGTGGAGTAATGGATAGCGACTTGGATTAAGGAATCGGAGAGCCGAGTTCGAATTCCAGTCGAACCCATTACATTCACTTACGTGCTAACACCCTTGGGAAAGGTGTGAATCCTTTTCTTCTCCCTCCAGCTATGGGTAAATAGCAGGACAGACTGGGTTCTATAGCCTTGGATGGCAGCAGGTCTAGGAGAAGGAAAACTCTGAATTCAAAACCTGCGGAGGGTCGTTTGGAGACCTTGTGGCACGTAGTGCACCAGGTCTCTGTAATCGGCCCTTCAAAAAGTGTGGATGGTCCTGCAAGCAGATTTCACCACTATAATCAAATCTCATATGCTGTTGTCGGGCTGTCGGTTTCCTGGTAACTGATCTGAAGCCTATACATGCGGGTTTGGGGACCGCTTGTGAATTCCAAATTCCCATGAAACACCAATATTGGAGCCGGCTCAACCCACCCCGGGTGAATGCCGTTACAAGACAAGACTAGAGCTTCTTGATGAAATGCAAAGAAGAATCAGCAATATTATTGGTCTTGTGTTTGGCGTCTTGTCTTCAGTTTCTTTCCGATCACCGTAAGGTTGCTTCCCTGTGCCTTTTCTATAAATACTTTCATGGTAATTGTTCGGAGAAGCTCTTCGCTCTGCTGCCTAGACTCTTTGAATTTAAGCACAGTGCTAGACCGGCGAGAAGGTTGCACCAATATACATTCCAGCTGGCTAGATGTAACCGTAATTTCTATCTTAACAGTTTCTTTTCTCGCACTTCTCACTTGCGGAACTCCTTTCCGGCTTCATGCTTTCCAGCGAACTTCAATCTGCAAAATTTTAAATGCAATGTTAATCGCTATCTACTGTCCCTCTGATAACTCTTCTCTTGCTTTCGCTCCTTACAATGTTTTCAGTAACTTCTTGTGTATCAGTGGCTTTATTACCTTGCTTTGGGCGAAATCGAGCAATCGAAAGTAAACATTCATTATATTACCTAAAACATTTTTCATCTCAACTATTTTAAGATCATTTTCTACTGACAAAATAGCCAAAGAATTTGATCTATCTTTAGTCATGGACGACCGCAAGTATGTTTTTATAAGATTTAGTTTTGGAAAATCCCAAACAAATGACATGACTGCATGATGGAGCCCTCAGCCTTTAATGGCGTCCTCGGCCTTGACGGACGACTAACCCGAGTTACCAGTATCTTGAGCCGGCCCTGACGGTAAGCCTAGTAATATTAATCAGGAGCTATATGAAAAGATCAGGTTTTTCATTAAAAAAATTCTGGGGTCGCACTATTTATAAAGTCAGCTTATATACAAGTATATATCGTACAGTGTAACCCGGATATAAGAGACCCGGATATAAGAGAAACCCGGATATAAGAGAAACCCGGATATAAGAGAGATTTTCTCTGGTCCCAAATTAGAGCCTGTGTTAATGTATATAAATTAGACCAAACCCGGATATAAGAGAAACCCGGATATAAGAGACTTCGTCTCCGGTCCCGACAACTCTCTTACATCCGGGTTACACTGTATATTAAATGAAAATCTGTCACGATTCAAACCACAGCAGGGTTGAGCTCGACGATAATACTGAAGAATTTTGTTGCCACTTGATCCTCAGCGACAACCATCATCAAATGATTTGATATGAAGATGTTAATAAAAACAACAACAGCAGCAGCAGCAATAATAATAATAATAATAATCGATTTAATGTCAGGCGAGAAACTATAAAATGAACAATTATGTTATCTTTGTTTATTTTTCTTTATATTTCATGTACGTTTCCCAAACTTGCATCACAGTGTTCGGAGATCTTATGAGATAAAAGACATTTTGATGACTTCTAATGAACGCGAGCCGGCAGTTTCAAGCGCTCTTTGAAAATAATATGTTTCCCCATTGTCAAAACATTCAATAGAGTTTATGACTAGAACAATCGGAACGGTTTTTTTGTTTAATCTTATTTTCAAAGTATATTGCTTGTCGGTCTGAGCTCATATATTTGAAGTGAATAGTTCAATACTCTGACCTGAATGATTGCTAATACGTCTACGTTTTACTTTTAAACACATGCAGATTTTTTTTTTCATTCTTTATTCATATAATCAATGGACTGGGCGACTACCTCAGCGTAATGGTTCACAAGCGCGTCGTGCAAACGAGTTTAGTGAGTTCGATTCTCACTGGCAATTAAAGGGAGATTAGATTCAATTTTTAAAAAGTAATAGTTGACACGTTTTATCTGGACTTACGTTAGAGAAATCTTTGGTAATTACTCGACCAATGACTCTCCTGGAATAGTCATGCAAGTGGGAATTTTTCAACTTATAAAATAAGGCGTGTAATAAATTGGAACAGAATAATTTATAGAAATTTGTCTGAATTTTTTTTTTAAGCAGCGTGCCGTACCAAATAAGTAAGGCTTACAGCCACATCCCGTACGATCACTAAAGTTAAGCAACGTCGAGCCTGGTCAGTACTTAGATGGGTGACCGCTTGGGAATTCCTGTAAGCTTGGAGTACTTAGATGGGTGACCGCTTGGGAATTCCTGTAATCTTGGATGTGCGGGTGGTGCGGGTGGTATAATGGATAATGGCTCGGAATTGTTAATCAGAGAGCCGAGTTCTAATTTCCGTTGGCTTTGTTATATTCACTTACGCTCAAATAACTTTGGGGAAGGTATGAATCCACCTCTTCTTCCTCCAGATATCAGTTAATTAGTAAAACTTACATCATTTAAACCATTATTATATCCAAAATAGAATTCTTACAATCGAAAAAGATTTTCTGGCTTTAAATAACCTGCAAAGGGTTGATAAGCCGTGAAAAAAATTAATCAATCAATAAAAAAAGCAATTCTTTTGGACTAAACATGAAGAGTAAACACTAAACAGTGTCGGGTGAGCATATCTTTATTCAATCAGGATTTTCATCAAGAACAAAAACACTTTCCCGCAAACTAAAAGATTAGGCACATATAACAATAAAGAACTGTAAAGAGGTCACTAGTCTGTAATGATTTTTTTTTAAAAATTATCACCCGTTCTGTTTTTTAATTATTATTATTTGCTTACAGTGACGCTTATCGTGATCGAGTGGTAAAGCACGCTGGGCCAAACGGCGGTTTACCCTATAAAAGGGAGAGATAGCCGTAGACTGCAATTTCTGTACTAAGATTTATATAATATGTATATATATATATATCTTATGGGAAAATTAACGACTCCCCAAATAAGTCGTAAAAAGAGGAACGAAGGACAAGGCAAATGAAAAGTTTACTTTTATATAAATAGTACATTTATACAAAGAGAAAGGGAGGAGAGAATTACTAAACTTATTTCTTCAGCAGTTAATGTCAGTTCAGTGGGAACGAAGTCCAGTACATGAATCTGCTTAAAATGGATAGAAACGCTTATCTAAAGATGATCATATCTCTTCTCCCGATGTCTGTCGAGGCATTAACACGTCTATTCAGTTCTGTTCGTGGTCAGCATCGCCTGTCATTTGGAGCAGGCTAAAACGCATCTTTTCACCCTGGAGGTCTTCAAGCCTCTCATTTGGCAATTCGAGTCCACTTAGGCGCCTAAATTTGTGAATTACCCATTGTTACCAGATAAATGAACTCGTCTTTCCTTACGAGGGATGTTATCGACCAAGAGGAGATAACCTATATTTTTCATAACATATATATATATATATATATATATATATATATATATATTATGAAAAAAATATATATACAAGTTTAATCAAAAACGACAGACAAGGTACATTAAGCCTTTTATTCAATTTTTCAACATCTGTAAAATTGTTCAAATGTTCTATATCCGAGCACTTTCGGCTATTTTATTATCAAGGATTTTTGTTTTTTAACTGAATATGTTGATTCTTATATATGTGCATATTCTGGAATGATGGAATGTTTTTTTCCAAGCACGGTCAGCATGTTGTGGCCGTGTTCACAGTTGATACTATTGAGTGTTGGCTTTCTTTTTTACTATTAATTGTTGCATTATTTTTAACCGTTTACAAACACATACGCACACACATACACATACATACATATGTATGTACATAAAATATATATATATATATATATATATATATATATGTGTGTGTGTGTGTGTGTGTGTGTGTGTGTGTGTGTGTGTGTGTGTGTGTGTTATAGTACTTGTAATACTCGGTTGGAAAAAGCCTCGGATAATACAACTTGTAAGTCTATCAAAACAAATTGGTACTCAAGAAATAAATTGAAAAAAAAGAAAGAACTAGAAACATAAATCGTCCAGTGCCTTAAGATTTTAGTCTAAAGAAAAAAAAACAAGATAGTAATAAAGCTAAAACGTAGAGTGCTCAAGAAATAATACGAAACCTGGGACAAATGTAATAAATCCTAAAGAACCAGGAACAACCTATCTAGGTTTCACCTAAACGGACCTTCAGGGTAAGCTGTCTCCTCAGCTTTGGTTGGCAACCAGTATAGGAGAAGCGTAATTTAAAACCGTATGTAGCCCTGGAGAAGCACATATAATGCAGCTAAGAAAAGGACTGTGAAGTTTACCACGACTCTATGATCTCGTCGATGGTCAATCTACATTTTTTTATTTTTCTAAATTAACTTTACCCTGAAGATCCGTTTAGGTGAAACCTAGGTAGGCTGTTCCTGGCTCTTTAGGATTTATTATATATATATATATATATATATATATATATATATATATATATATATATTCTATGGATATCAACAATGGAATGAATCTACACTGCATGCACCTGACTGCGGTATTCAGTCCAAATTGACCAGGAGATGGCCTTGAGACGTCTTCACTATCCATATCTATAAACACTCTCTATTGGACACTCTTTCCTATAACAAATTTTAAACAATATATATATACATATATATATATATATGAAGAAATAAAATCTTAAGATGTGCTATATTTATGGCATAAAGTGCTCAATATCAGAGATAGAGCGTGTGTAAATATAAGTGAACATAGAAGGCAACACTTAGAAGCGACAGTCTGTTTCATGCTAGATGCAATATATATATATGTGTGTGTGTGTGTGTGCATGTATGTATGTATATATATGATTAAATTTTATCCTTGACGACGACAGAAATGTACAATGACTTAACATAACAATTGCAGAAAATTAGCAAGGAAGAGACTAAGTGTAGATAAACAAACAATAACAAAAATGAAAATATGAGTCTGAACAGACGCGTGAAATATTGATAGGTTAAATATATTCATTTTATCGCTGTCCGTTAATATAGATTTTTTAAATCGTAAATTTCTTAAAAAAATAAATGAATAAAATAACGTTGGCTATTTTATTAGAATCTTGAATGAGTTCAGTAAAATCTTCCCATAAATTACTAACCAAAAAAATATATCCGTCACTAAACTCACAATGTTACGTATCAATTCATGAATTGATACGTAACATTGTATACTTTTTTATGCGTCAAACATTTAAACGATATCTAAGTCTTTCAATATTTTGAGTCTACGTTTTATGTGAGACAAATGGAAAATTTCTGTGTATAAAACAATCGATGATCAATAAAATTTTGGTTGGATTTTGCAAGAGCAGCCATTTGTAAAACTTATGAATCAACCAAGTCTGCTTCTATTGGAAAGACTATTGTATCGCCCTCGTAATAACCAAAAGAAAATGTGGGTCATAACGTCGATATTTTATTTTAACTGAATAAATTTATATCGGTCTAAGTATAGTAATAATCGCTGACCCAGACGCTTGTCTTTATTTGCGATCGAAATGTTTAAATTTATATCTTTTAAAGTTCAGTATTAAGTGTGGAACATTGAAGTAAAAACGTCCTCTGAATAGAGACATGGCTACTATTTAAAACAAAATAACACAAAGTTTGTGCAAAGGTGAAAAAGAATAATAAAAAAGGAGTGTAAAGCATTATTCTGTACTGTGTTCACCTAACAGACGCACTCAGTAATTTGTTTGGGCTATATTTTAGAACATTCCTTTATGGATGTGTGGCTCGGAGACGCGCTCGAATTCCAATCAGCCTCATTACATTTATTTACGACTAAATATCACTACGATAGGTATGAATCTGTCTCTTCTTTCCTCCAGCTAGAGGTAATAGTAGAACAGAGTTGACTCCTCAGCCTTGGTTAATTTCATTAATTTCCCTTTTGTTTCCATTATCTACAAAACTTCATCGTTGCTCATATGTTCGGTCCATGGTATTCTGAGTATCCTTCTGTAGAACCACATTTCTGTTGCTTCATGTCTCCTCTTCCTCTTTATGGAAGGACAGATATCACGCAGCATTTAGTACTCTTTTCCTTGTATTTCATGCTTAAAAAACAAACAAAATGTTACTTAATACTTCGTTTGTCCCGATGGAATTTTAAACACCCCCCTCCACAATTAGTAGTAGTCGAATTTTCATGATTGATCAAATGTTTTTTTTTTCTGGATATCACTGCCAAGGACTACAAGGATTTTCTGGTTTTAGTCATAATATTTATATGAATAAATATCAGTTTTATTTGTTTACTGAAAATAAAATAAAATCATTCTGTCTGAATTTCTGGGATGAGTTATCATTAATTACACTATTTATATCAGCCCCTGTGGGGTGAAGTGAAAATACTGAACAAGAAAGAACACTAGAGAGTTTGAAAAAAATCAGGACATATGTTAGGCTATGAAGAGTCCCTTAGTTGGCCTAGAATTAATTACGATATGGGATACACTAATAAATAAGAAAAGACAAATGACAGCAAGTCTTCACCATTACAATTACTGCTGCAACAAAAGAAAAAAGTTTCAGTGACTGCGGTCGAGCATGACACGAGGGAAGGTTAGGTTTAAGACTCCAAGCTCTCTATAATGAATTGTCTCACGGGACAATAAACTAGTGGATAAAAACGTTGGTTCGTGAATTTTGTGACATGAGTAATTGTGAGTTCAATCCCTGGACCAGGCTGTGTGAGAGGGCGAACAATAATTTAGCCGTACTAAAATGGGCAGTGGAATGAAAGTAGATTAAATCAAGGGTTAAATTCAGAATTCCTTGGTTACCCGGCTCGGCATTCACTTGATGAAGGCCGGACGGCGAACAGCCGAAAAGTCTTGATGATGACATTGTGACTACAATTGTCTCCATATGAAAACAGGATAAAAAAATGAAACCTTATTGCATATTGAAACTTACAAATCCATTTTTTTTTAATTTGATTATTTAAAATGTAACACTTCATTTATTTTTTTTCATCGTCGTAGCTTCGTAGCTGAACATCTTTATGTCTCGATTGAATTCCAATGTCTGAGTTTATAACTGATATTCCACTCCACTCAGTGACGTAGTCAGGCCATTTTATCCCTAGTTTTCCTCCAAATTCTTCTAATGTGAAACCTTGGTGGAATAGTAGTTGAAAGATTATCGGTCACACTCTGGTCAAAAGTATCGACCTGCCGGCTAAATTATGTGAAGGTATTTGCCTATATTT